AATCCACTCACCTCAGCCTCCCAAAGGCACGGGATTACAGGCTGAGCCACCGACCCCGGGTGATTATGTAAATGTTTAACAATAAGGGGCAAAATAAATTATTGTCCATTCATACAGCACAATGCTAGCAGCCATTAAAATAAAGTGGTTGTGTGGTTATTAACATAAAATTCCATCATGATATATTTTTACTAGAAAAAAAAGCAGATCATAAAATAGCTTGTAGAGTATAATCCTATCTTTATGTATTTATAAATGCATGCAGAAAAATATCTGGGTAATTATACATTACAAGTTAACAATAAAGATCTCTAAGTGACAAGAATTTCATTTTTTTAATTCTTGCTCTTTTTCTGATTTTTATTATAATAAATATTTAGTATCAGAAAAAAGTTCTCTGAAAATAATTAATCAGTGTATATCTAAAGGTGATTCTCAGTCTTTCTCATTTCCAATTTTCTACTATAAACATATCCTACTTGTGTAAATAAGGGGAAAATGAAAAATAAAAAATAATATTGAAGGCAAATATAAGACAGAAAGAGTAAAAGCTTTAATTATGAGGGGAAATTTTGACAATGAAGATCTAATAATAATACAAGAATGGAGATTAAATGAAAAGCATAAATATGTATGAAGTGTGAGCTGCTATATATAGGAAAAATTGACAAAAATATACTCTAAAAATTTAAAAGTACTTCTCTAAGTCCTTGGAACATTAAGAAAGCAAAAAATTAATAAGAATATAGAATATTTAATAATACATTTGAAAATATTGATGAAATAGATAACTTTCTAGGATACTGCAAAAGTTTCATGCTGGAAAGTGACTGGATTTCACACGTTTTATGGTAGAGTTCTAAAATTTTCAAAAAACAAGTGAGTTCCCATATTAAGTATTCCAAAATGAAGAAAAAAATTAAAATATTTTATCATATGTATATTATGAAGCTAGTTGAAATCTGCTGACAAATATATATAAAAATGTTTTTACATATGATTATATATCCTAAATCCTAAATAAAAGTATAAATCCTAATTAAAATAGAAGCAAGTTAATCAAGAGATTAAAGTAATACAGATTATGTGCTGTGAACTGAATATCTGTGTCACCCCCAAATTCATATGTTGAAGTCCTAACCCCAAAAGTGATGGTATTTGGAGATGGGCCATTTGGGATGTACTTAGAGTTAGGTGAGGTCATGAGGGTGGGGTCCTCATGAGAAATTAGTGCCTTAGGAAAAGAGACACCAGAGAGCTTGCTCTCTCTCCATCATGTAAGGACACAGCAAGAAGTAGACTGTTGAAAAGCCAGGAAGAAAGCCCTTACCAGAAACTGAACCCCATTCAATTTTAATCTTGGACTTTCCAGGTTCCAGACTGTAAGAAAATAAAGTTATCTTTTAAGCCACCCAGTCTATAGTATTTTGTTATGGCAGTCTGAATGACTAATACAGTATGTTTCCTGACCACAGTGGAACTAAATTAAATGATTCCCAAATATCTAGAAATTATGCAGTACTCTTTTAAATTACTCACAAGTCAAAAAGTAATTATGACGGAAATTAGTTTTTAAAAATGCATGTGACTAAAAACATTAAATGGTAATATTGTGGGATATAGCTAAAATTATGGTTAGAAGAAAGTCAATTGCCTCAAATGCATATATTAAAAAGAAAGGTTGGCAATTATTATCTAAGTATGTATTTTGAGAAGTTAAAACAAACAAACAAACAAAATAACAGCAATTAAATCCAAAGAAAGTAGAAGAAAGGAAACAATAAAGATGAGAACAAATGAATAAACTAGAAAACAAAACAAAAAGTTCATTCTTCAAAAGACTAACAAAATGGATAAATCCTTGACGAAATAAGAAAAAAGAGAGAAGGCACAAATGACCAGTATCAAAAATTTAAGGGGGAATCTCAAAGTCATTAAAAATAATAAGTGTATAATAAAAACATGCCAGCCTCAGCCAGACGTGGTGGCTCATGCTTGTAATCTCAGAAGAGGGAAAACTTTCCAACTTTCCTTGGGAGGACAAGGTGGGAGGATTGCTTGAGGCCTGGAGTTTGAGACCATTCTGGGTAACATAGTGAGACCTTGTCTCTCCAAAAAAAAAAAAAATTAACTGGGCATGGTGGTACACACCTGTAGTCCCTGCTACTTGGAAGACTGAGGTGGAAGAATTGCCCACGCCCAGGACCCAGGATGTTAAGGCTATGGTGAACTGTGATCATACCATTACCCTCCAGCCTGACTGACAGCATGAGATCCTGATAAACATAATCTCTCTCTCTTTCTCTCTCTCTCTCTCTATATATGTAACATTATGTCAATAAATTTGAAACTTTCTTTGTCCTAAATAATTCCCACAAACCAGTTTATCAAAACTAATACATAAATGTAGAAAAATAGAATAGTCTCATATATATTAAATTAAGTTTGTAATTTAAAGTATTTAAAAAATAAAATCCAGTGTCAAAAGTTTTCCTTGGTAAAATTCTGCTATACATTTAGGGCATACACAACTCCAACCTTACATAAACTCTAGAAAATATAAGAAGAAGGAAAACTTTTCAACTCATTTAGGCCAGTGTCACTCATAGAAATGTAAAAATTTTAAGCAAAATATTAGCAAGCAAGTGATAAAATGTAAAAGAAAACTACACTGTGGCCAAGCTGGGTTTTTTCTAGGAGGGCAACATTGGTTCACCCTTGAAAAATCAATCTGTTCTTTTCAACAGAAGCAGAAAAACATTTGCTAAATTTAAACAGACATTTATGATTAAAAAAAATTCTTAATCTGAATCAGTGCATCCAAAAAACAAGGGTGGGGTGAAAAGGTGGGGGAGGACAGGAGAATAGAGCAAGATAGCTACTGAGTTCATGTCTGTTACATAAAATAGCAATAGCTGTTTAAGAAAGACATAACAATAAAGACATTCTCTCACAGAAAATAAACATCTCAGTCAACCAGAAATCAGTGGAGACATACAGTGATAAGGCACTAAGAAAATGATGAAACAATATGTGATGTGTTTGAATTTACTGAGAGGATATTTAATCTCTGATAGTCTACAAAATAAATTGATGATATCACAGAAATCAATCAAACAAAAAAGAAAAAAAAATTAAGGCAATTGCCAACTCCAGAGAAAACAAAAGCTTAAACCAAAATGAAAATTCAACCATAGCAAAATATTAAGTGTCTCAGTTGTGCAATGCTTATTTTTAAAATAACAGCTTTATTGAGCTACAGTTTATGTACCATAAAATCTACCCCTTTAAAGGATAGCAATTGATCCTTTTAAAAAACAGCTTTTACCTAGTAATAGACCCTTTTAAATACTAAACACTTGATTGTAGAGGAACTCCTGACTATGATCCATCAGATGACTATGTGACTTAAACTGCTCATCATGAGAGGACGTTATCTAATCAACTAAGTCACACAGTTAGATGTGACCAGCAGTAGCCTACCACTGAGTGGAAATGGTATATGGGACCAGGCATTGTGGTGAATGCATCCTTGCAAAAAGTCTAGTGACTGTAGTGGCCACAATTTCCCAAAACACCTAACCAGACGCTACCTTGGTATGCCCTTAGTTGTGTTTTCTTTCAGTTTAACCTCCCTTGGTTGCTATTAATTTTATGAACTTAGTTCTCCAACCTTTCTTATTATTCCTGTGGTTCACCTAATATCTTCCCAATGAACTTATTTTTAGCTTAAGTTAGCCAGAATTGGTTTTTACTGCTTGAACCAGGAGTCCTGGTTAATATAAGATACAAATTTCAGATTATTTTTTAATACTAGAAATTTTACAAATTCAATCAACATGCAAAAAGACAAAATGAATATATAAATTAGTATTTCCATTCATTAGCACTTGCCCTTAAAT